CCGCACTGTTTACAGTTGATCACTGCTAAGCTTTAGGGGTTGGAAATGTCATGAGAGCTGTACAAAACGAAAATTTCATTTTGTTAACACTCTGTGCATGCAAAATGACAATAAAAGTTGTTTAAGTCTAATATTTTGCTGTTTTTTTACACTGATCTATTTACTTTCTATCATAATCCTCTGTGTACGCTGGGGAATGATAATAATAATAATAATAATAATGGGTTCTGTAAGACCCAGTATGTAGATCAAAGCAGTTAGTGAGATATTCTGGAATCTATCACTTTGCCATCAAGTTGATTTATCTCAGGAAAACATGTCTAAAAATGATGTCACCTTAAAGAGTTGGTAAAAAAAATATGAAAAAAAAATAAAATAAAAATCCTGAAAGCTAATTTATTTGGAGAAGGTCAAATAGGTCAGGGGAGAAATTTGAACTTCATCAAGGAAATTTCCGCAATGACTTTAGAAGCCAATTCATCAGCACATCCTCTGTGGCGGCTGACATTATCCACAGCTCTCTGTTCACCGCCGGGGAATGCCAGAACCACTTTCCTAGACAGGGCGCTCTGTGACATTAAGAGTGACGTTAATCTGCTGTGAACCATAGGATGGCAAAGCAGTCCTCAATTGTAACCAGACGTGGACATTAGGCTCCCTCGGGAAGCTGCTGTTTTAATGGCAACAGGTGCAGCTACACTATTGTGGAACTTTAGTGTCTTTTACTTCCTGAGGTACACAGGAACTGTCCACCCCTCAAATTCCTTATTTCTTGTCCCACATCAAAGTCAAAACCCACCCAGCATCCTCCCCCGGGTTCCCAGGAATTCATGACAATGGATGAAGTCATTAGTGAGATGTCTTTAGCTCTCATTAAAACTAGGAGTACAATAGGCCAAACCCCTCTGGGAACTGGACTACATACAGGAAACGTTTAGGATTTAGGAAAAGGCAGAAAGACAAAGCAGTTTTATTATGAAATGCTTTAAAATGAACTATTTTGATTCTGTGTCCATTTTATTTTAAAAATTATACAATTCCACATCATAGAAGAACAAATGGATTAATGTTTTAATTTACAGTTTCATATATAAGGACAGGATTTTTTCTGGAAAAGAAAGATCCTTTGTTAAAAGGTTTATTCTTACACCGTTTGAAGCTTTTTCGAATAATTTAAGAAATCTTTGCAATGGAATTAATTAAAGGTTGTGTGATGGTTGTTATATATTTATCACTGTTAAAAACAAAATGAACACAGTCATATGTTGAGTGATATCATTATGCATAACCTGCCAAACTCTGGCATTATGCACAAAACAACGGCCGGCCAAAAGTGAATAACTGGCACAATGTCTACTGCTAAAATTAGTTTTTAAAGGAAAAATTCATGTGATATTTTATCAAGAGGAATAAAACGTCAGGAGAGATATTATTCATGAGCTGTGGTTTGAACACATAACTAGCACCTGGTTGAGGATTTTAAAAGTATTGTTTTTGCACGGCCAGTCTGCATGTCATGAGCCACCGATGGGGTTAGTGATTGCTCTGATTGGGCTCAGCATTACCTTATGTTTAAATGTATGCGTCAGTATGATTTTCCCAACATTTGTCGCCAGAATAGCCTTTATTCCCAAGCCAGGGAGTCTGTTTTTTCTTTATTGTTTTATTTGTAACTTGTCATGATTTAACATGCCACAAAACTAAAACTATTTGAATATATCGGTTTAGTTTCCCCCACAGATTTATGTTGGTTGCTTCTAAAAAAAGTTACATCTAACTAATCAAACACAGAATGGATGAGAATTAAAATACAGAATGGAGTGGAATTAAAATACTGATAAACTTTCAGACAAACACTTTAAATCATTCAGCTCACAAATCGGGGGAGAAAAAGGAGTCAGAACTGGATCTAATTAACATGACTGAACATCAATGAGGAGAGCATGAAGAGAAGTTATTGATTTAATTAATCTGTTGACATCAGTAGATGTTTTGCTCTGAGAGAAGAAATATCTTTATTCTATATCTGCTTAATCCTTGGGGGGATACATGTCCTTATTAATCGCAAAAAGAAAAAAAACTATGGTTTAAAAAAAAGCTTTTCACCTGAAAACTTTTATTCTTACAAACAAGAACCATATTTTCCTTGTGGTTTGTTTGCTTGCTTAGATCTTTCTTGGATTTACCATAAATGTTGTTGCATCCTCATCACCTCAATGTTTGGGTTATTTCCTCCCTTAAAACCATAATTTCAATTGTTTTATGGACCTGTGGCAGACAAAGTTTAATCTGAGGGACTGTTTTTAGTGGATGAGAAGGAAGTACGCCTTTTTAGCCTCTTTCAACAGAGGTCTCTATTTGATTAAAAAGTGCTAACTCATCTTCTTTCCTGTTTGCAGCAAAAACTCTAGTCAACATATTGCTGTTCAAAAGGTCTCCATTTACATAAAGACATTAGTCAGTTTCTCATGTGTTTAAAACAGTCTCTGGACACTGAGGACCCAGGCATGACTATGACCATATTTGGCATTTTCTTCAACCATCTCAAAGTGCTTTTGTATACAGGAATTGACTTTAGAAAAATATAAAAAATAATAAAAAAAAAACAATGGGAAGGCAAAATAAGATTTTTCTCTTTAAATACCTTTACTGGCTCTAAAATAAGATTTTGTCTTTAATTTTGTGAACCTTGAAAGGGTTTCATTAGTGTTGCATTCAAATGATTGCAATAAAATCCATTATTGTTGCTTATATTAAATCAACCTTATCCACTTTTGCAGATTTTCTGTATTATACAGTTAAATATTGCATTCACTGGCAGATAATTTGGTCTTTTGCTGGTTTTATGAGGTCCTTATTCACAATCGGCTCCAGAGTTAAGCTGCTCCATTAGTGATAGACAACTTTACTCTGTCCAAATCAGCCGGTATAAAAAACAGATTATCAGGAAGCATTTTTGAGATCCTATCTTTACCTCCATTTGACATTCAGCCTCATATTTACAAATAGCTCATGATTTTTAAGTTTATGAAACTTGATCTACAATCTGGACCTGTAGCATTTCGCAATCAATCAATCTTGATCTCTTGCATCTTCTTCCTTACCTGAAGCATTTAAAGGGATGGAGGTTTGGTGGATGAAAGGGGTGGTTGGGTGGAGTCCTTTGAAGCAGTTGAGGCTGATGGTGAAGAGGTGTAGAGTTTAGTGAAGTAAAGCAGACAATCAAGATAAAGATAAGATGAAGATAAGAAAACATGCAACATCGTAGTCATGTCTGGGGAGGGGTGAATGTCTGATCAAACCCGCTAATCAAGGTTAAGATCATGACAGTTAAACCGGAAATCTCCTACAGACTGTTTTCAGGCTTATCTAAACCCCACCAAGGTTTTCTGCTGCAGGTGTTGGGTTTTTTTTGTAAATGTTTTCTCCTCCCTTTTCTGAACTAAAATCCATTTTCTTCTCCATGAGGAGAGCCTTTACTTTAGGGTTGGCCTAGAGCAGGAGCTCAGTGTTTTCCAAACACAAAATAAAGTAGGATGTGATCCAGATGATGCTAAAAGTTGATGGAATGCTACCATCTAGTGGAAAGTTAATACTGGTGCAAACAAGGACAGAAAATGACTTCCTATAAATTATCCTAAAGCAAAGAAAATTAAAACATGTGGTCCCCAATGTATAGAATGAAAATCTGGAGTAGATCATTTTTTAATTGAAAATCCCATCGCAGCGTAGTATATTACGTGACGTGGCAAAGCACTTTACTTTACCCAACATCTGGTGCTCATTTTCTCCCCTCCAACCCCAGAACTCTGCTCTAACAGCCTAATCATCAGTCCACAGGTGAACTGTTCACAGAGAAAAAGCCAAATTATGATGAGCCATCATTCTCTACACATCCAGCTGATGACCCAAGAAAAATAACATTTTGGTACATTTAAAGGCTTAACTCTGAATATAATAAAAGTCATAGCAGATTTGAAAACTTTGCAGGACTTTAGCAGGAATATTTTTTTTTCCATTTGTCTTTTAGTTCTTCACATGATTCACACATTTTTATAACATTCCATGATCCAAACCTTTTTTTCAAAACCTGCTGGTACATTTGGGGCCTTGTTTTAGGTTTTTAACCGGTATCTATTTAAACCCTAGAATGATTTGGTTTAAAAAAAAAGAAAAAAAAGTGGATAAATAACACAAGCAGCTAATTTTTCCATGGTTCTGTTGCTTCAAAACAGGCATACATCTTCACCCAAACCTTACCACATTAAGCAATTGGTATTAGTGTTTGTGCCAAAATGCAGATAGTTGTATATGCTCCTTCTATGGGCAGTTACAATGTATATGGCTCTATAGCCAAAATTACCTTCAGGCTTTCGTCGTGGCCATGAATTAATGCACAACTGTGCACTACTGTAGCTACCTTAGAGCATTTTGTTAGCAGAGTCTGGCTGATACCTTCCAATATGATTCTATAACAACAGGTAGGGTTTGGTAAGTGTGGTTTCTTCCATGACTGAACGCAGCATTTTATTTTCATCTTTCAGTTTTTTTTTTTGTTTTTTTTTTACAGTCTAATAGTTCAGCCCATTACTGTAAGGCGTGACGCCAGGAAATGAGATCTAAGAAATCTTGTCCGTTCAAAAAATAGAGCCAAATAAAGAATTTAAATAAAAATTACTTTATTATTTTTTTTAAAATAAATGCATGTTTTTTTACAGTCAGAAAACAGAACAGCAGGACATGCACAGCTGCTCTGGACACTGGAGGCAAACAAAACAAATAAAAATAAAAAAACTCAAGAAAAGAAGCATTATATATGCTTGGTTCTTTCTCACCTCTTTAATATTACTTTTATGTGAAACGGTCACAAACTTCAAGGTCATTTCACCATATTATATGGTGCAGTTCAGTTGTGACAACAACAAAAAAAGTTGTCTAAAAATTGTGAACAAGCTAGAATATAAGGCAGAAATGCTTCTAAATAATTGCTGTCAGTTGAAACAAATAAATATGGCTATAACTGGACTTTTTTTTGCAAATAGGACAAGACACAAAAATAAATGACCAAAATAAAGAAGAACAAAGACACTTATAAGGTTTGGATGCACATAAGAAAAAAAAAAGGCTAGACCAAACCTGAAGTTTCTGAGTAGGGTTATCTTCATCTGAATTTATATGCATCTTCATGTGAAAACTAGATGTACCCAGACACTCTTCTGAAGGCTACACACGTCGACTGATGGCTTCTGAATGGAAAACAATAAAACAAAAACCTCCAAATCCAAAAAAGCAAAAAAAGAAAAACACTGTACAATTCTATAAAACGTTTGCGTTTTTACATTAGTTACAAAAAATAACAATAATACTTCATTTATCAATCCTTCATACTGAGAAGAGAACAAAAATTGCATATATTCATTCTTTAAATTCTGTGATGTTTTGCTGGTGTGTATTGCTAAAGATATAATACTATACGGCGAGAAACTAGACTTCATTGACGTAGGACGTGCTTCCAGGGATTGTGATAGTGTTCCTCCTGTTGCGTAGTATCTGCATGCACTTTAACTGTAACTTCAAGTTTCCAGTTGGTTCAAACTTGTAAAGCAGCTACAGACGGCCATATCTTTTTCTATTACAGCTAAAAAATTATAGGCAAAGTGGTGTTTTAGCGCATACTGGAACTGAAAAAGACATGTTGACCTAACCTGGAACATCCAGGAGGGTGAAACCCACAGGACGCTTATCACAGTGCACTGAACTGTATTGTTTTTGGAAATGCTTCCTATTAGCAGTATTTTAAATGCAAAGGAAGGCTTGCGAGGTGTTTCTGTGTCAGGTTAATACATAACCAACAGGGTGGCTCAGCAAGAGAGACAGATTTTGTGAAATATGAAGCAGAATATAACAGCTTATCAATAAAGATCAATGTATAGAGGAGAAGAGCTTAGATCCGGTTGTTAAAAGATATTTATAGAAAAAAAAAAGTGAACACAAAAAGCAAAGAGAAGCTGGTGCTGCTGATCAGATTTAATGGACTCCTTCCTTTATTATAAATAAATACACATTAGTTTATATGGAAAAGTTTTAGCTTCTACCACCTGACCACTATTCTACTTTTTTGGGCAAGGAAATCTTTTAAATTACAGTTCATTACTGATTTAACCAAATCCAACAATTTTTTTCATTTTGATAGTTTGGCATTAAAACTTAACTAAATTAAATCATAAGGCTTTAATGGTTAGATATGCTCGGATTCTTTTTTTATATTTTTGGTAATTAAAGAAATAAGTGTGTGAAAACTTCTCCCTCCAAAATTTTCCACACTTTAATATCAGTAATAACTCGTTTTTAAGTTATTCTTTGGGATTAAATCTAAACAAAATTGTGGCCGTAATTCTGAGAGAAGGAGAGATGAGAGCAAAAGCAGAAGAAGGTTCTCAGACTAAGACTCCTTCATCTGGATGGTACCAGCCAGAACATTAATAAGGCAAGAAATGACTGTGAGCATTAATGCAAATATATATATAAAAACAAATTAGAACAATAATTGTGTCAGTCTTGGCAAAAAAATGTGCTAATTCAGCACAGTTTTTAACAGTTGAAAAGACAAAAAAAAAAAACAATAAAATAAAATAACCTCATAAGCCTGCTCGACTTCCTACCCTCACCCATTTCCCCCGATCTAAAATCATCGACCCCCTTTGAACTGGGACACCTCAGACCCAGCCGCTGGTCAGTTTATAGAACATTTCCTCATCTAGCGACTCATTCTGGTCCTTGGCGCGTGTCGACAGGAAGATGTAGCCACCGATGAACTCGTGAACCACCTTGCAGTCCACTTCTGCACAGATGAAGGACAGGCTGGGTTCATCTGCAAACTCAACGGTCACCTGAATGAACAGGACAGGACACAACAATCATAGTAAATTCATTTGGTATATGACTGAGCATCTGTTTGGGAAACTGGAATGTGTTAACATGAGTAAATTATCCCAGAACCTGTCCTATGTGGGGTCTCTCAAGGAAAACAGGCTCTGGGTGACAGGTTAGACAAAGAAGGTTTTAAAAAAGCCCTTATGATAAAAATAGAAAAAAAAAATAAGAGTTACAGTGAAGTCCACACTTCATGTGGAGCTAGGACTGGGGTTTGGCAGCGAGGCACCAGGTAGTTGGTGTTTTGAGGATCATGAGTATAGAGTCAGGGGCCCTTCACTAGGGGCCATACGAGCAGCATACAAGCAGAGCTGGAGTGTGGTCCTCATAGTGAGCATCAACTCTAACCTGTTACCAGGTAAGGTCCCAGGACTTTTAGGCGTAGTCAAGGGGAGGGGGGTGGTTTGGGGACCAGTGAAGGAGGCCCAGGGGACGACTTTGGACATGCTGCAGGGACTATGACTCGCCCAGAGCAGCTGGAGGAGGTTTCTGGTTAGAAGGAAGTTTGGGAGTCTGCTGCCCTAGCAACCCAGTCCCAGATAAGCATCACAGGATAAGTACCTCCAGGGTGAAAGTAAGCTGGTATGGTCCAATACCGCGTACCAATAAAATATTCTGTCCTGATAATCAGTACCAGGAAGAGGGGGGCAGCTGTCTGCTATGCAGCCGTCCTTCAGAACCAGTCACGGCTGCACTTTGAGTCTGAATAGCACCGCTCAAAAACACCATTTGTGACCACAAATTTCACCAACGCTGGGCTACAAGTGTACGCATTCCACAACACAGTGGTTGCTGGGATGGATGGTTGCGTGGATCAGGGTGTGATCAATTCAATAGACTGGAAAATTTTACACAGGTGGTGCACAGATATAGAAAATGCCTGCTTGTATCAGCACAGGAAGAATATTAAATCACAGATTTTATATATGAGGTCTTCCTACCATCTTGATCTCCCAGTTAACATTCCACTGCTTCATGTTGCTAAAGCGCCAGGTCTTGATGGCATCTCCAGTGTGGGCATCCATCCGGATCAGACGATTATAGGTGATTCCAATCAGCTCTTCTTTCTTTCCTCCCTGAAACCTGCAGGGCAGAAACAGACCAAGACCTTTACCTCGTCTCAACTGACCTAATGATATACCACGAAGGATCCAAACATGGGATATGGTGACTGATTTATGTACTTTGCAAGGAAGTGAGTGATTCCAAACTCTGGCAAGGATTGCCATGCCTGAATGAAGCGCATCTTGGCCTCGATTAGACTCATCTGGGCAACGTTCTGGTGGGCTTCAAGAATCCGGGCTGAAATCTGCCAAAGAAAAAAACACAAATGTAAAACAAGAGTCCTTGTCATGGTTCTTCCGGTTAGACCATTGGGGACAAAATTATAATATCTTCAAATACCAGACCATTTACTAAGATCAACACTTGATTCATGTTAAAACAATTTCTGATCAGGTCTAAAACACCTCCAGAACACAATGTGTTGGTAAATAAGCAGAAGCAGAGAAAACATAACTTCTGTCTGAAGTTAGAGAAGCTGAACTTTCAAAGTGATTTTGTAAAGAAGTCATCTAGATGCAAGTCTGTGCTTCAGTTGTGACCTTATACCTCCCTTACTGTCCTGCTCACTGAACATGTTGGCAAAATAAACGTGGGGCCTCATTTAAGCCACCAGCCACAGAAGAAAAGTGTGTCTGTTTATATTAATTCCACAGAGAAAAAAAAAAGTCATGAATGACTAATTTAAAGTTTCTACAAACACTGTTTAAATTAACTTTCTCTTCAGTCCATTGAATATCTTATCTTTTTATCTATATTATTTTATGAGCTAAATTCCAATGACCAGTAATTTTTTTTTATTCATTCAAATGTGAATATAACAAAAAACAAAAGGTTATTTACTCAAACATGTTAAATTTTTACTAGAAGCCAATTTGATGGTGGTACACAAGAGTTCCAGTGCAGCTAAACTGCAGGGATATTAGACAATACATTCCATACAGGTTAATAAACAGAGGAACAAAACATATTTAATGAGGTCAGTCACTTATCACTGGGATACCATTATCTATGCATTTAAGACATACAACCTAAAACAGTAAAGCTAAAACAAAAATACACTGAGGCATTGTTTTTTTTTATTATGAGTGTTAAATGGATGACAACATGCAGCGGACCTCCATTTTTATCCATTTAGTTTTCTAAATATGTTAAGACCACTGGTTCAACACAAAGCAAGGTGCCATATGAATCCTTTATTAATTCTTAAAAACATTAAAGACAAACTACCAACAGAAAGCATTAGGAATGATGCCATCTACTCTCTATAGTTAGAGGACCACCCAGACAAAACATAAGGTTTCCACAAACATGCAGACTAACTAAAAGGTACCCAGTGGACACTTCACTTACCAAATCCCTGATATACCCTGGCTGAAGGGAGGAGGTGGGTAGGGGAAGATGCAGGAGTTTGACAGTGATGTGGAAAAAGGGGAACAGAAAAAAAAAAAGGTTTTGGACAAAGAACAGGCAAATAAGATTAGAGTCGGGAAGAAAGATATAAAAAAAAAATAATAATAATGCTGGAAACTATGGCCTAACTGCAAAGAAAGAGCATGAAAGTGTTGAAATGAGATGTCATGCAGGACTGAGCAACAAAAGAGGGAAAGTAGACCAAAGAAAAAATGCTTCCACATGTGATCTAAAAAAAGGAAAGCCTAAAAAAAGTTCAGTAAAACATCAAATAGAAACTGGAAGTGCATATTCAGGCTGACTGTGTCTTTTTGCTGCGTCACAGCTTCCATTAAAGCAAAAATCAGAGTTCCTTATTCCTTTCTTCCACAAGATGGCACCATGTTCCAGCTCCAGTGGAGCTGATTGTTAGTCTTCAAGCTTTAGGAGCTCCTTCCAATGCTTCCTCTGTTTTCTTTCTGCTTAAACGTATCCAATCAGGCCAGACACTGCTAAAATCCACGTAATCCAAAAGTCCCTGCAAGTGCATCCGCTTGGAGCAACAGCACGGAAGTCAGCCTGGACAAATCTTACAACAGGATGGGGAGGGGCTGCAGCCTGCCAGAGTTTACAGCTTCTTCCCCAGACAGTTTTCCCAAGAAGCATTCCCAAGTAAGGCTCATTTCCTGATCCCCCACGCCCACTACAAGAGGTTACACATGTATATGTGCGTGAGCATCATGGCCCAGACACACTGTACATAGGGTACAGAAAACCTCTGACAGAATAGGATGGAGTCAGGCTAATGATGCATCAAATAAATTAACCACAGTGACAACATGAATAACATTACTAATACCACTTCCTGTCGGACATAGGTCTACCCCCTGACTCATCATTTTCTGGTTACTAATAGGGACCAGAGTTTTCCTTGTATCTCCATCTGATTAAGACGCCATTAAACACGATTTCTAGGGCCTTTGGAGAGAAGCAGGCTTCACAGAGAAACCAACAAACCTAACAGTGAGCAGGAGGTGCTACATCAAACCAAACTGGAGGTTTCTAATGAAAATTCCCCTGAGAGTTTAGTTAACTCCACTTAATTTTTCTATGGTGGGATCAAAAGTGTTACCTTAAATTTAGAAAAATAATGTGATCCCAAAATGGAGTTTGCAGGAGTTTAGGAAAGTTACTCTAACGCTCTTATAATCCTCCTTACTGTATGCAATATTAGTCCTTGTCCATATTTGCGGTCAGTGGCTAATAAGAATTTGCATCTTCGTTGCATCGTATTTATATCGATGGGAAACAAAGTCACAAGTGGAAATAAATGAGAAGTCTCCAACAACCCTGATATGAAAGCACGGGGCAGAAATATAACAAAATGGAGACAGACTTTTCACTTTTGCTTGAAAGATGTGAAAAAATGTCATCATTCAAAAAATTTTATCATAAACTAGAATGCTTTTTTTTTAATGCTTTTTTTTCCTTGTCTGAGCTTCCTGTAAGGAAACAGGATATTAGGAACAAGCAAAATGCCAGCTTGTACTTGCAGCTTTCATCTACCAATACCAACCCTAAAGATAAAATCAGACCAAACTAATTATATTGTGTTGTGAACATCTCCTTGTCTTAAATTTTTCATCTCATTTATTTCCAGATAACCATGATATTCTCAGCTGTGGTTCAGACCAATTCTGAATCATAATTTACTGTACCGGCCACCTCCTGACATCATCTCAGCCCACTGGCTCCAGGCCACATTCTTACCTCCTGCTCAGATCCAGACAGAGTGACTGAGGTACAGTGTGTGTGGGAGTGTGTGTGTGTGTGGGGGGGGGGGTGTTGCCTTCCTCATCCTTCCTCTGCTAGCAGTGCCATGGCAGCCGTGTATTCAGCTGCTGCAGTGTATACACAGCAGCCTATTTGTTTGCATGCAAATCTGCTGAGCAAAGTTTAGAATCTTCTCAATGTTTGAAAGAGAATTAGAAGACTGGTAGAGATTAAACGTTTAAACCCTTTCACTGCCACCGACTCAAAGAGAACAAAAGATTAACCTTTTTAAATTAACTTCAATAAAAAAAAATGGAACCAGGTTAGCTTTTAAAAATGTGTTAAAAATACTGATGTATTTTTGTGCAACAGATTTTGATCAAAGTGCTGTATGTGAGAAAAAACAAATTACAGTAGCATAGATGGAACGTGAATAATTACTAATAAATAAAATAAGTTTACTATATTAAAAGTCAAGTAAAATGATCGATAAAAAATGAAAGGAAAGTTGGATTCAAAACCTAACCAGTCATATCTAGATAGTTCAGGCAAAGGTCCCTCTAAACAATGATATCTTAATTTGGATTTTGTTAAACAAGTAGAAGTTTTTTAAGGTCGATTTTCTGAAAGACTAGGAGGAGTTTGACTTCAGAACTGGGATGATGTGCTCCACTTTCTTGGTTTAGTGAGGACGCTGGCAGCAGCATAAGGCTTAGACCTGTGAAGAAACCATTTCAGTGAACTATTCTACCAGATTAATTTATTGATTATTTTTTAAAGCTCCTGCTGAGATATTATTCCTTTAGTTTTTTAGCAGTTCTTCAGGTGATAGTCCATCACTAAACCCAGATTAAGAGCCTGATTGGTGGTTTCTAGCTGGATTTACTGAAGCTATGAGCTGACTTTTAAATACTCTTACTTTGCTGCAAAAATGAATATATATCTGCTTTGTTTTCATTCAGCTGAGGAAAGGTTTTGTCCCATCCATGGTTTCATTTCTTCTATGCATTTACCTAGAACCTGAACGGGTTCATAGTCACCTGGTGACATAATGTAGAGATGTGTGTCGCCTGCATATTTAAGGTAACCGATGTTTCTTGAGATAGAGAATTGGGGGAGCATGTAGATTTTGATTAGTAGGGGCCCAAAGATGGACCCTTGGGAAACACCACATGTTTCTTATATAAAGTTATCTATTGACATATAAGGTCTCTGTCCTTCAAAAGGGATAGAAACCACTCCAGTGCTAGAAAGGTAAATCCAGTTTTCTAGGTGCTTTAATAAAATAGCGATCAATAGTGCTGAATGCTGTGCTAAGGTCCAGTAATTCCTGCACTGTAGTTCTTTTACAGTCTGCATTAACATGAATGTCACTGAACATCTTGACAAGGACAGTCTGTACTGTGGTGAGCATGGAAGCCAGGGTAGAAGACATAAAAGCAGCTGGTCAATGTTAGGAAAGTGCTTAGCGGTTGAATCACAGCTCTTTAATCTTAATGATTAAGTGGAGGTTTGAGATGGGGCTATAGTTAAACAGTAGCAGAAGTTTAAAGCTTTAACAGTACTTATCCAGACTGTATTCAGCCTTCTTGTTATCTGCTGATGTAAAGAATTTCAGATAGTAGTTTTATTGTTGTTTGTGCTTTCTTTGCCATCAATTTAAACCCTTCCCTGACATTAGAAATATCAGATCAACCTGTTACCTACTACAGCTTAGTATGATGCATTCACTGATAAAAAAAAAAAAAAAAAAGACATGAGAAAAAAAAAATCTGTTATTTACCCGTAATAGTTGAGAGCTGAGAATTAGCACATTAGCTAATTTATTGGTACATTTAAAAATGAATTCATTAACAAATATTAACTTAATGCATTAAGCAGCAAATCCATTATTTCAGCTTTTTTATTTCCATACAGAATAATTGGTAGAAAGGATGGAAATAAGCAGTAAGGTGTTGCAAGAACCACATTACAGCAGGTTTAAAGGAGAATTCCGGTTTTTAACACTTTTAGCCCATTTTCTGTAGTGTCCAGGATGAAATCGAATGATCGACACCAAAATTTTGACAATTGG